CCAGCTGCAGAGATGACCTGCTGCCAGAGAGGAGCTACCCTCTCTGCTAAGAGGAGTGCTTCAGAGACCTGCACAATGACTTGCCTGCAGAGAGGAGCCACCCTTTCCAGGGCCTCCTCTCTGCTGAGAGCTGAACACTCAATGGGACGATCTGCTTACAGAGAGGAGCTACCCACTCCTCTGAGTTGTTCTAACACTAAATAATACTCTTCTTTTTCACCCTTCACTTGTCTGTATACCTCATTCTTTCTGGACGCAGGAGAAAAACTTGGGCTTAAAGTCGTTACAGCCATAGAGGTTTCCAACCGGAGAAATCGACACCCCAGAGATTCTATAACAGTATGTTCTCACGCACAAGTGGGAGCTAAGCTATGAAGATGCAAAGGCCTAACAATGATACAGTGGACTCTGGGGACTTGGGGGAAAGGGTGCGAGGGTGGTGAGGAATAAAAGACTACAAAATGGGTACAGTGTATAGTGCTTGGGTGATGGGTGCACCGAAAATCTCAGAAATCACTACTGAAGAACTGATTCATCTAACCAAACACCACCTGTTCCCCCAAAACCTATGGACATAAAAAATAAAAATAAAAAAGACAGAAGAAAACTAAGCCATCAATTATATTAAATGCAGCAGAGAAACTGAGAAAGACTAAGAAAGGCCATTGGATTAGACCATGGGTTCTCAATCTCTGCTGAACATTAGAAGCACCAGGGAGCTTCTACAAGACACTAACCCAGAATCTGAATTAACGTCCACTGGATTAAACTGTATGGCCAGAGACGACTTCAAAGGGAACAGCTCTATAGTCCTATTTTAAAGTAGGGGAACAGATACACCCAGGGACATCAGAAATGTGTTTTCCAGTCCCAAGATTCAATATGTAAATTTGCGTTATTGATTATTTTATTTTTAAGTTTACATAAGTCAATGGGAAATAATGTGCTTGAATAACATATTCAGCATTTGAACATCTCATGCCTGGGATTACACTGGCTGAGCCTCCCACATCACCAAGCAAATGCTTGAATAAACATATGGGCTCTGAGCAAGTGCCCTGAGAGCCAGGGAACATGACTATGTTTCAATTTAAGAGAAGTAAGCCTCTTGCAAAACACTGTTCCTCTTGTTTGCTCCCTCTTCAACGGGTTTTTAAGTCCAGGGCTCATTCCAAAAGCCCTTTACCCAATCTTAGTTCCTCTAATCGTAACATATTCCGTGAGAAAGGAGATCTTACAAGGTCAGGCAAATTGTTGTTAGAAATGTGATCCAGCAACTTTAGGTTTGAAGAAATCCAGTGGAGAAAACACACACACAAGCCCACGTCCACACCCCACATTCAGACCTGTCTGTCTCCATTATCCCAATACACCACTGAGGTCTTTCCCTGTATTCAAGAAGGAGGTTCTAGAACAGCCCTGTCCATTTGTAAGGAATACCACAAGGTAAGATGCCTGAAACTAGCAAGTGAGAAAGTCTTTACTGATTCTAAGTCAATGACTCCCAAGGACAAGGTAAGATGTAGCTCGCAGCTTCTTCAATGTGGCTGCACATTTACGACACACATTTAATTTATTTTAGCTAATGAAAATGCTCAATAGTGAATATGTCTGAGCCCCTATGGAAAATAAGTAGTGCAATACCCAAAGACATTTAGGTGTCTCTGAGAGGCAAGAAGAATCTGTGTTACGGGTGTGACTCTATATATAGAGACATTAAATTCACAGCCAAAAGGATAATAGTGATTATTACAAAATCAGGGGTAACAAGGGGGAAAGATAAAAGAGAGGGATGAGAGAACGAAATGTTTCCTTCACATTCTGTTTCTGAAACAGGATTCAAGAAGGACATTGTACCATTTGGTAGTCATTATTTTCGTTCACGCACATGGCTAATTATTTCTACAGCATTCAGATCTCTTTAAAACAAACATGTTTTGCACATACACGCCCACCTTTAAAAATATGCCTTTTATCCCCTTTTCCACAGCCTTGAGGAAATATCTGATGGATTGTCTTAGGAGCAGTGCTTTGGGAATAAATGTAGATTATATGCTAAAAAATGTAACTTATCCCTAAAACTTGCATAAACAAATCAAAGGACATTGTAGCATCTCGAGTATAAACAAAATGACTCTCAACTTAACTTGCAGATCTTTTTTTAATGTTCAGTAATAAATTTTACTCCCAAAAGATTATACTGTCCTCTCTCTTCCCAAACTTCTCCTCCTCCTCCAATCCCCCAGTACTTTTAATGTCAGACCCATAATTCAGCTGTCTGGCTTGAACTCATGATGGGAATCATTATATTTGATTTTCCTGTGAGGCCAGCCTTGAGTGAGGGTCTTCTGATCCCAAAATAGTCAATGTTTCTGTAGTTTCAGGAATCATTCTCTGAAAGTGCTTCACCTTCTTGAGGCTGTGGGCATGAGGTCATATGAAAACACGTCGTGTGATTATTTGATGAATTTGGGTGACTCCTTATCCAGCGAACTAGAAGGTTCTGTGTGTTCCTTCCCCTGAATTGCTGGGTCTGACATGTGGATGGCCTTTGTTCCCTTGCTGGATAAGCCGGGTCAGCCCTGCTGTGTGTTGTCATAACCGTAGACATTCCGTAACTGGTGTTCATGTAACTGCTGGAGCTTGCTTCAAAACCAAGGCAGAAAGCCATGACAATGGAGACCATTCTTGCCTTCCCTACACATTAACCAGTTCGTGACTACGGAGAAACAGGGCAAGTAGCTCTTGACCTGACTAGACGGATGGCATTGGAGGCCAGGCTCTGAAGAGCTGCTTGTAAAAATCTGGAGCTTAACACCCCTAAAACAAGAACCTCCTTTAAGCGTTGGCACTTCAGAGAAAAGTTACCCATTTCAGAGCAGGGAGATTCCAGGGAAGTCACCTGGGTGTCAGTTTCTGAGCACTGTCTTCTCACGCTCACACTCCTCCTGTTCCTGGCCCCCACCCTCCCGCTCTCACCAGTTACCCCCATTATCACCATCATCACTTCACTCCCGCTCGGTCCCTCTCCTGTCGTCACCCCCACTCCGGAGTGAAAGAAAGGAGACGCCTTACCACGGCTCTTCCCACCAGCAGCACCAGGAAGCTGCCACTGCCATTTCTATTTAAATGGACAGGGATGTTGGGCAGAGAGACCCTTTCGGAGCCTGTAAGGTTAAGCTAAGTGTTCAGATTATTCTTTGCAGAATATAATGTGAACATCTTGCTCTTGCTTGTACTGTAGAAGGTTCTCTATTCATATAGATGTGATATTCAGTTTATGTATGGGTTTACATTTCAGCACTAAATCTCCCACCCACTCATGTCACAAACCTTTATGGAGTGCCTACTACATATTAGTGATGAGTAGTAGAAATAATAATAGCTAATACCTACAAAGCACTTTCAGTCTGCTAGGGCTTTGCACAGACCAGCTCATTTAAGTAAGCACTCTTCTAGTTTCCATACCACCATCTGATTAAATGAGGTGCTTCACAGGAACAAATATACAACGATATAATCTATATGTATGCTGTTCCTTTATAACTGAATCTTCCCCTTTGCCATCCCTACCCTGCCTACTTTTCTCAGATACCTTATCATGCTATTTTACCCCAACAGACTTTTTCTGGAAAAATGATGGCTTACTACATGTCAATTGGCTGTTCACAGTTTCAGAAATACAAGTGGAGAAACTTGGAAAACATCATCTATCAACCTCTAGATCTAAGCTCTCTGAGAGCAAGAACTATGTTTTTTCTTCTCCACCCTAAGGCTGTGGCACTGTGCCTGATACATACTTGATAGGTGCATGCTAAGTATGTGTTACATAAATTAATTCCATGATGTGCCATGTGCTAATATCCTGTCTAGTAATAACTGCTGAGGACTTCGTAATATTTGCTGACCGGGTAGTCCTGGTGTCTGATGCTCCACTGAAGGACAAAACAAAATTGATCATCGATTCAAGGTTCCACTAAGAGTAAACAAAGTGTGATGTGGGATGGAAGCCATGGTATAAAGAAGAAAAGTTGGTGCTCTTTGACATGAATTGATCTGTTCAGCACCATCTAACCAAAGAACAAGGCAAAGTTTTCCTTCAAGCACAGAATGAGTTCCCTCTGGGATTTATAAAGTGGACCAATGCAGAGGGGGCATGGCTCCCACCCCTACCATTTAAAACTAGTTGATTTTTAGTGTAGTCTCCAATTTCACCTGTCTTTCCCCTCTCAGCAATCTGTTACGGATTTGTTTGCTGGAATGGCTGGGGGTGGCGGGTGGGGTCAGGAGTGAGTTAGTAAGCATTTCATTTCACCCCCAGTAAAGGGTAAGATGATTGAATCAGTCAGTCCGCTGAGACGGGGCCAGAGTTACCTGATAAATATTGGGGCCATGCCACTGGGTGAAATCTTTTCGTTAAGTGACTCTGAAATACAATCCCAGCCTAAATTTGCTGAGTCAGTGGGAATTTCTCAGGGAATCCATGTTCAGCTGGCCCCAGAAATGATTTTGATTATGAGACAAGGTATTTTGGCAACAGGTGCTGGCTTTTATTTTCCAGGTTCAGAACTTGAAAGTGTCCAGTTCATTAAGTTCAAGCACTGGAGTCGATTAAAGGTAGATCCTGAATGGTGTCTGAAGGACCCCCACTGTATTTTCATGACACTAAACAGTGGCACTTAGGCAGCTGCAAAAGCTGAAGTTTGAACTTCTGATTCAGATCATCTCATTTACAGAAAACAGTTCCCCAAACTGAATTGCCTGAACTTGACTAAATATGGGGCACCATTTTAAAAATGGCTTCATGCTGAGGTTCTAGATATTTTGAGGTGGTAAGAGTAAGGTACGGTTTCTCCTACTGCTCAGGGATACTTCTGTTTCTCATATGCCAGGGACCCAGGTGTTGAGCCCAATAGAAAACCATAGAAATTAGCATGGATGTGATGCTGTTCATGAAAGTCACAATCTCCTTAAACTGTTCTTTATTAAACTTTTCAGGGATCCACTCGTTCAGATTATTCAACAAACATTTTACGTGCCAGGCACATCACGGTGGTGGGACATGAAGTAAAATGTGACTTGGTGTCTACTTCAAGGAGCTTCCAGTCCACAAGAGGCTAAGGGGGAAACGAGCGGTGACTGCAGCTAAAGGGCGGTTGCTCCTGTCTTCCCAGCATGGCGGTGACAAGCTAGAGGTACACCCAGGACGGATGACCAGCAGAAGTGAGTCACCTCAATCAGCACTGTTGTTTTCAATAGCAGAGCCAGGAGTTCCAAAACAGAATTGCTGTTTTTTGTTTTGTTTTGTTTTTGAGACAAAGTCTCACTCTGTTGCCCAGGCTGGAGTGCAGTGGTGTAATCTTGGCTCACTGCAACCTCTGCCTCCCAAGTTCAAGTGATTCTTCTGCCTCAGCCTCCTAAGTAGCTGGGACTATAGGCACGCATCACCATGCCCGGCTAACTTTTTGTATTTTTAGTAGAGATGGGGTTTCACCATGTTGGCCAGGCTAGTCTCGAACTCCTGACCTCAGGTGATCTACCCACCTCGGCCTCCCAAAGTGCTGGAATTACAGGTGTTGAGCCACTGCACCAAGCCAAATTATTGGTTTTCAAAGTGTTTCTTCTTCCTCTTCTTCATGCTGTAAGAACATTCCAGTGACATTTGGGGGCTTCACACCCCTTGGCTTTAGCTAGATGTGTCCATGGAAAAAAATGATGACATAACCAAATAGAAAATCTCTAGAAACATGATTTTACTCTTCATCTGTTTTTCAATTTTAGTCAATTCAAAGCATAGACTACAGTCAAAGGGTGCATTCAGTCCCAAAACTGTTTACAAGCAGTGTTTAGGGAAGACAATGGGAATCTGCCTGGGCCCAAACAACCTGCAATGACCTCAATGAAAAAAATTACCTTTTCCTTCCCAGCTGTAGAAACTTTCTGCTGCTCTTCCACATTTATATAGAATTCCTGCGTCTACATCTATATATTAATAATTTCCACTTACATACCTGCCTGTAATGGGTCTATTCAGAGTCCTCTATATCTACATAGCCGTCTATCTATCTAATCCCCATATCTACTATTGTACAATTTTTTTCTGCTTACTTCTTTTTTCCCCTGTGTTTCAACTCATTCTGATCTCTTCTCAGCATCAGAGATTATGTTTATTTTTGTGGCTAAATCTTGGTCAGTCCAACAGCAATATTTAAAGAAACAATCTCGGATGTCTACCTTTTATTACCTATGAGGTCTTGGTGATATATGGAAAAGGGGGACTCTATGGCAAGTTTCATGACAGGTCTGCTTGTTAAAAACAACAGTAGTAACAGTTCTAATACCATCTCCACCCTCCTGACCACTTGTCCTCTTGGAGGTCAGCTAGATGCTGGCAGTTCCCTAGGAAATGACATTATATTACGCAGAATACCACATTAATTCAGAACCTGCCACCTAGCTAACTTCTGGCTCTGGAACCCTATCTGCTGACCCCTTTGCGACAATCAGGAGCAGGAGTGAATTTAGAATATAACAAAAGGGCCTTTTGGATTTTGTTAGTTGATCAAGAATCTCAGAGACACTTAAATTATATATGCATGAAATAAAATAGGCCAGGCTGGGCACGGTGGCTCACGCCTGTAATCCCAACACTTTGGGAGGCTGAGGCAGGTGGATCACTTGAGATCAGGTGTTGGAGACCAAACTAGCCAATATATTGAAACCCCTTCTCTACTAAAAATACAAAAATTAGCTGGGCATGATGGCAGGCACCTGTAATCCCAGCTACTCGGGAGGCTGAGGCAGGAGAATCGCTTGAACCCAGGAGGTGGAGGTTGCAGTGAGCTGAGATTGCGTCACCACACTCCAGCCTGGGCGACAGAGTGAGACTGTATCTCAAAAACAAAACAAAACAAACAAACTAACAAAAAACCAGGCCAAAACATCCCATCAACCCACATGTCACATATTTACAAAAATATCCAATGGAGGTTCTGACGTAGAATAGAAAAGTCCTGGTTTTAATGAGCTATGAAATGAAGGACTTAAAAAATTACAAATGTGTAATTTCTTTTTTATTTCTTTAACTTTTAAGAACAATCCCATGCATAGAGCCCAAACTGGAGATCTGTAGCTTTCAGTGACTTTCTCTCTCAATTACTCTGGGGGAACCTTCCTCCCCTGTCCTCCAACCTGTCTTAACAGACACAGACACGTAGCATAATTCAATAGTGCTGCCGTTATTAGCAGCCTCTGTGAACCCAAGTAACCTTGCATACAAGTCTCATGGAAAGCACACATTTGCCAGTTGCTATTAACCGTTGACATATTGATAGTGTGGGGGTAACATTGTGTATGCTGATACTGGGGAGGGGGCAGAGATGGGAAAGGGGCAGTTATAAATTGCTGAGTTACTGTGTTTATATTCAGCACATCTTGCAGCAGAGATTCTGTTTCTCTTTCTCACACACACACATACAGACACACACACAATCAGTGTAAAGATTCTGACCTATGCCTGGAAATACAATCTGAAGTCTAGATAAAGGGAAGAGCTAATGAAGGCTCACAGTCGAAGCTGTCTGATTTGTACACACTCAGCACACATTCAGACTTGACTGTATAGGTCAGATTTTCTAGAAACATGCGATCATGGCTTTTTGAGCTCAAAATCTGTGGATAATTGTTGCTTACCCCAATATCCCACTTTCCTTCTTTTCCTTGGAAGTAGAAACCTTGATTTTGAGGTAGACACATTGCTGCCCAACTGAATGACTTGATCTTCTTCCTGCCTTGTAGCTAGGTATGCCTAGACTAAATTCTGGTTGACCTGAAGTAAACAAAAATGTGGTATGGTTCCTCTGGCAAGTGTCTTTGGAAAGGGGGTAGGTCCTTCGTCTCTTCCTCCTTTCTGCTTTCTGGAATGGTAATGTTAAAGGCTAGAGCTATGCAGCATCTGGTACCTGAGAAATAGGCTGAGGCAGGCAGATCACCTGAGGTCAGGAGTTCGAGACCAGCCTGGCCAACATGTGAAACCCTGTCTCTACTAAAAAATACAAAAAAATTAGCCGGGCATGTTGGTGCGCACCTGTAGTCCCACTTACTCGGGAGGCTGAGGCAGTACAATTGCTTGAACCCAAGAGGCGGAGGTTGCAGTGAGCTGAGATCATACCACTGCACTCCAGCCTGGGAGACAGAGCAAGACTCTGTCTCAAAAAAAAAAAAAGAAAAGAAATAAATATACTACAGGATGGCAGAATAGAAAGGTGACAATGTTCCTGAGCCTATGCAGTGACCATAATCATCCTGGACTGCCTACCTCTCAACCACTTTTATGTGACAGAAAAATAAATGTCTATTTCTTTAGGCTTTACTTCTTCTTTTTCTTCTTCTCCTCTTTTTTTTTTTTTTTTTTTTTGGTGATATGGAACTGAACCTAATCCTAACTGTTACAAATAGACCTTAGAGGTCATAATAGACTTCATTTTACAGATAAGGAAACTAATGATTAAAGATCAACTTTGATAAATGTCTCAATCGGGAAGCAGAGTTGGCAAATTAATTACACTTCTGTTTAATCTTCTTTTTCTAAAGATAGATGATGAAGGTTCTATTTTATATGCCTATCAGTATCTGCTAAATGAATACGGTTTTATATTTCACATGTCTGTGAATTTCTGAACCTCTGAGGTCTTCCAACTGGCACATCTAATCCCAAGTCACACATATTCAAGGAATAAGCTATTAAATAATAAAAAATGTGAAGAGGAATAGTAATGAACAGACTTGAGAAAATTTTCTTTTCCTGCTACGTTCATTAGATTCCACATGTCTTAATCTGCATCTTAGTACATAAATCTACAAAACTATATTAATTTGCACTGGTATTTTAGAAAGTGCTAAATGGAGATTTTCAAATTTGGGTGATAAGTCAGTATCTGGAATGTTGAAAGGTATCTTTACTTCAATATGTGTGCAAGATAATCTATGCTGTAGCTGTAAAATACACCCCTGGATGCTTTTACAGAATAATACTGAAACACTCTCTGAAACTAATGGATATTGCTAAACTGACAAAACTCACTTATTAAATTCAATTAATGGGGTCCAAGAAATTAACGGCCTCTTCCTGGTGCTCCTCCGTGCCCCTCCCAATCTTCACTCCCACAAATCACAAAATAGCCATTAAAAATAGAAGGACATTTTCTTCCTCTATGTTAAAGTAATTTGAAATCATCTACCTTGTCTTCTAAAACTCCTCTCTTGTTGCCTTCTAAATACCCAAATGGAAAATGATCCTGGAGGAATGGGCAGTATGTGGTTTCCCCTATTCTACTAGACTCCAATCCACACAGACAAAGAAACCCGATATCCAACAGAGGTTCTTCCCTCCTTCGTACCTCCACCCACATGGATGAATAAACCTGATATCCAACAGAGGTTCTTCGTTTGGGCCTTCCCTCACAGTTATGGCCCAAAAAGCTAGGAAGGACAACGGGCATCCTTTCAAATAAAGAAATACGGTACAGAAATGAGCAGCAGAATCACAGTCCTGAACTCTGTGATGAATTTTTACTCAGGCGGTGAATGCTCATGGATAGGGGTTAACCTCTAACATTTGCGCGCATCCACCGGTTCGCTCTTGGCTCCTGGTAAGCACTTACAGGCATTTAAAGATGTGCAAAGGGTATAAGTCTTCAATGCTCTCTGCCCCTCACAAGCATCTCTGATAATATCCAACATCTGCTTAAATGCTAGCTTACCTTAAAGATAAACTCTCCTTCTTTATTTCATTCCACTAGGACTGAACCCTGACTTGGAACTATTTGCCTTGAAAAATGAGTTTTCTCTACCTCTGCAGAGGATGGCTGTTGTGTATAATGGTCTCTGAAATGCTAACGGAAGCCAAGAAATCACCTGTCATGAACTATGAAGCTATTAGTTATGAAAAGCAATACTGATATTTACCTTCTAACTCTTCATGCTGGAGGGTAAAGCAGCACACCCTGGATGTGCCTGGTGCCGAGCCAGGATAAAGAGAACATCTGCATCTCTCCTCCTCTGCCATTTTTGAACTGGAAATAATGCTCATGGTGATAACAATGTGGTGACTGTCGTTCAAAGCCCCTTAACACACATTATGATCTGATCTGCTCCTCCCAGGAATCCTGCATGAGGTGGGTATTATAAATGTTATAATGTTCAGAAGAGGGAACTGATGTAGAAAGTTAAGTGATGTACTCCAGGCAACCCCGAAAGAGCCTGGCAGGGCTGCTGCTTTGACCCTGGAGTTGAGAGGAGCTGTTCTTTCCACATCAACACCCCTGGGACATATTTCACCAATGCAACTGTTTTTCATTTGGGTCTATCTTTTCTTTGCTGATAGTAATCAAAGATCTAAAAGCTACAGATTTATCAAATAACTGAAGCTACTAAAATTGTTGGCAATGTGGTGAAAGAAACTGGCAAACACGATTTTAAGAAAAGTTGAGACAACTGTGACAGAAGAAATAAAAGCTTATCCCCCCGGGTGTTTAAGTTATCTTCAGAACTAATATTTCTAATGTATAATGCACAACTAAGATAGCTTTTTTCTGATATAAAAATAAAGTGTGCTCATATTTGGAAACACAGAAAACTTAAAAAATAAAAAACTGCTTCTAATATCTCCAACATGATATATCCACTATTTACATTTTGATTGTATTTTGGCATATATATATATATATTTTTTTTAAAAGCTCACATATATCTGTGTATATTTATAAAGTTAGAATAATTCTGAATATATAATTTTGAATTCTTTCTTTCACTTAACATTGTATTGTAACTAGAATTATAAAATAGAATCAACTAGTTTTTTAAAGCTAGTTAAAGGAAGAATGAAATAAAACCAGAAAAAACCTTAAACTACAGTTTGTAACTAACTGTAAAATCCAAGATCTCTTGGCAAATGGTAAGGAATTTTGACATATAAATTAATGGAGCTAAATTTTAATCACTGAGCAAATATTAATTGAGTCCTAAACACCTGAAATCATTCTAGGAGCCAGGCCTGGGATGTCGTGGTAGCTAAGCTCGAGTCCCTACTATTGGGAGCATACAGTGTCAGAAATTAAGAGAATGCAGTAAGTTCCAGTGGAGATGGGCTCAATTTACTTTCACACCAACTAGAATGGTGTGAAATAATGGTTTGCAAAGCAAATGAATGATGCATACCATCGTCTAAGAATAGCATTTAATTTTCTTACAAGAAGGAACTGCTTTAATTGGTTTAAAAATACTCACTACACACAAATATTTTGTTAATTAAAAATGAGTACCTATTTGAACACTTATATGAACTAAATAGGAGCTAATACATGAGACAAAAATTATGTAGTTACAATTTTTTTTTTTTTGCTTTTCATTAATTGAATCAGACTGGACCTTCTCAAAGCATGTGAATGAGTGAGGATTTATTGTACCATGCAAAAACTTAGGATCTTTACAGGTATTAATATTCCTGTTTAACACTAGTCCCATTTCAGCTGGTCAGGTAAGAAGAAATGTGATAGCAAAAGATATGCAAGATGTTAATCTGCTCTTAAAAAGATGAAACCAATATTTGACCTGAATTGATACAAGTGTTTTCTTTTTCTTTTTTTTTTTCTTTTTGAGATGAGACAGGGTCTTGCTCTGTTGCATCTAGAGTGCAGTGGTGCAATCATAGCTCACCGCAGTCTCAAACTCCTTGCTCACGTAATCCTCCCATCTCAGCTTCCTGAGTAGTTGGGACTACAGGCATGCCACTAGGCCTGGTTAATTTTTTTTTTTTTTTTCAGTAAAGAAGGGGTCTTGCCATGGTACCTGGGCTGGTCTCAAAATCCTGGGCTCAAGTAATCCTCCTGCCTCAGCCTCCCAAAGTGCTGGAATTACAGGCATGAGCCACCATGCCCAGCCCATACAGGTGTTTTAATTTGGTTTAATCCCAAATGTCTACAGAGGTCAGAGGACTTTACACATTTCTTTGACTTCTTTTTCTACTGGATCATGTGTTATTGTATAATTTCTTTAATATAATGACTGTGTGATTAAACCCAGGGCAAGCCAGAGTCAATAAATCAGTTACATGTATGTGATATTGTTGATACACATTTTTAAAATCACATTTTAGAAAATCAAAAAATTAAGGCACTTTGCAAATCCAATCTACTTTTCTTTTATAAAACAGGAAGGAATATTAGAAACACAGGAAGTTGAACATCTTGATAAATGCCAAGAAAGAGACTGTGCCTTGGAGGAAAGGCTGGCATGGAGCCAGTATCCTTCTGTGCCCCTGGTGTCACCAGACCCAGGATCAGATCATTGAGAAAGAAGGGAAAAGGGAAATTAAAAGAAGCAGGAGATATGGAGAGGAACGAGAGAAAGAAGAGAAGGAAAAGGAGTTGAGAGGGAAGAGAAGAGAAATTCACAGGTAGAATTGGTGGCTGAGCTGTGGAGAAACTGCAAAGCGAGAGAAAGCCCTCCAACGCTGAAATGCAATAAGACTGCATGACTCCATCACATGCTCAGCCCCAACCTTGCCCATTTGGATAAAGTGGATTCCATTTGGTAACGGTTGGCAGTAACTGTCATTTCTGAAATGCCGAGGGCCCACGTATACAACAAGTTGACACCTTTATAGTAGTATTTATAGCTCAGACACTTTAAAACATGACTGTGGGCTGGGCACAGTGGCTCATGTCTGTAATCCTAGCTCTTTGGGAGTCTGAGGCAGGAGGACCACTTGAGCCCAGGAGTTCGAGACCAGCCTGGGTGACCCAGTGAGAACTCATCTCTACAAAAAAAAGGTAAAAATTAGCTGGCCATAGTGGCACATGTCTATAGTCCTAGCTACTAAGGAGGCTGAGGCAGGAGGATCACTTGAGCCTGGGAGGTAGAGGCTGTAGGGAGCTGTGATTGCACCACTGCACTCCAGCTGGACAGCAAAGTGAGATACTGTATCAAAATAAATAAATACATACATACATCACAAATAAGTGAACCTGTGGTAGAGTAGAGAATGTAGAGACAGAAGTTTATGTGGCAGGAAGGGGGCATGTGATACCAGGCTGAACAAGAGGCCCAAGTGGAGGGACACATAGGGCCATGTAGGTGTCCTGTTAACTCCATGGAAGAGGTTTCTGGGGATGTCCCAGGCCATGTTGCCTGAGTACCTGTCTGCCTGAGACTCATTCTATTCCTGAAAGTCTGCAACCATCAGTTGTATTCTTACATTGATTATGGTTCAACGGTATGGTTTCTCCATATAAATGTCCTGGCCACCACTTAGAAATGATCCATAATTTCTTGTTTGGGTCTTAGTTTTTCCACTTATACAATTTTTTACTTATTTTATTTTTTATCTGCTTCATGGGCATGTTAATGTGTACGGTTAACAGGCAATCATTAGCAGTTACCAAGTGAAAGACAAATGACAGATGGAATATTTTGATCTGTCCCACACATGTTTCTTGGTGAAGGTATTCAGGCCACTCCAGGGGCCAGTCTGGAAGCCTTATCTGATCAGGTTAGGGCATGATATAGTTTGGCTGTGTCCCCACCCAAATCTCATCCTGAATTGTAGCTCCCATAATTCCCACGTGTTGTAGGAGGGATCTGGCAGGAGACAATTGAATCATGGGGGTGGTTTCCCCCATACTGTTCTCGTGGTAGTGAATAAGTCTCACGAGATCTGATCGTTTTATAAGAGGTTTCCCCTTTTGATTGGCTCTCATTTTCTCTTGCCTGCTGCCATGTAAAGCATGCCTTTTGCCTTCCACCATGACTGTGAAGCCTCCCCAGTCACGTGAAACTGTGAGCGCATTAAACCTCTTTTTCTTTATAAATGACCTAGGCTTGGGTATGTCTTTATTAGCAGCATGAAAACAGACTAATACAGGGCATCACACCCAAATTAGACCTGTTTCTCCTCTACTTCCATATGAACTCTGTAATGCTTTTCCTATTGCTGATAACAACCTGGTTGCAGACTAACATGTTTTATCAATGTTTTTCTGTAAATAGGCACATGTTACATAAAGCACCACAGCATAAACCATGTGATAATACATTGTAATGACACTCTAAAAATGTAATAATCACTCAATAAAATCCTTAGCATCTGCTATCTACCTCGAATTATACCAGAAGCTTTTAGGATACTGGGGGGGGGGGTAAAAAAAAAGACATGGACCCTGCTAAAAAGGAACTTACAATCCAGCTGGAAAAAATAAAGCTCACACATAAAAAAATTAGGGAACAAGGCCATATTCAGTTAAGTGCAAAATTGCAGAGTATGCTCAATTAGCAAGCTAGAGGGTTTATTAGAAATAACAGTAGCTTAACAACTTCCCTACTATAAAACCATAGTTTAAGCCTGCTTTAACATCAGATCTGGTTTCCCACAACTGATTAACCTGAAAATGGTTTAGCACAACACTAATCCTTTAATTTAACAACCTATAAATGCTGTATATAACAAGTTCCACAGAGCCCTTTCTTGGATTCATAATAATGACCTGCATCTACCACACTATCCAATGTTCATTTTAATGAGCACCTCTGGACTTTAATGAACAATCTTAGGTCTAAGTGAGCATCAATTAAAGAGAAAATGTCTCCAAAGGTATAAATGGTGATGTATCATCTGGGTTAGCAGTGTTGAAAGGACACCTGTGAACATCGTGAGGTTTGGATGGCAAGTATGCCCCCTTGATCAGCAGCTCCCACCTCTGTCTGACACAGAGCGAAGCTGGGGCCTGGGATGAAATAAGAAAGCCCCAGCACATAAATAGTAGGGAAATACTATGGAAAGAGGAAGTCTGAAAGAAGAGAAATACATCTGAGCAACACAGAATTGCCGCAGGATTACCTGCATGCATTCTTACACGTTTCCAAGGACAAGAGGAGGGCATGGCATTAACCCGAGCCCCTGAACATATCTAATTCTGTAGGCATGCAAATGAGAATTGGTCTGACTGACTTTGCAGCAGCAACCAAGCCCTGCTAACTTCCCTTCAGAAGAACTTGGCTTGGGCTAGCAAAGAAAAGACGCCCACGCACCCACCTATCCCAGCGGCTTTGCAGAAGTGCTACAGGGTGAAGACAATGAAGAAAGGCAAGGCTGGAGAAAGCCAAGGCATTCTGCCCTCTCCCAGCAAAGACAGCCTGGACGTGTTCAGACCCTATCACCGCATCAAAAGAAGAACACCAAGGAGAAAGGAATCACAAAAGCTCTGGCATGCTCAGGAAGGCACCTGGATTTGGAAAGGATACGTTATTGCCCAAGCTTAACTTCACTGATTTCCATGACTAAGCTACCTAACAGAAAACTCCTTTTTTTTTCAAGTTAAACTTTAAGAACTACAGCTCTGTTACTTAGAGTCCAAAGCAAATATCATCAGGACAAGTGTCTCTGAGGAAACAGCTGTCAACAACTCTGCAATTCCTCTATCCACTACATGCTAACACCCATCCCGAGCCCAGCGAATGTCCTTCTATGCCTGGTTACAAAGATTGGGGCATTACAAAAATTCATCATTCCCCCTTCTCTCACCCTGATAATCATGGTAGTTTCTGGGGGACCTGGATGGAATCCTTTATTAAATTTTGGAGCATGAGAAAGGCTGGGTGGTGCCTACTTGTCATTTGTAAGTGAGTGCTGGATAATTTCCATCAGACCATAATGCTTGTATCTTTTTTTTTTTTTCTTCCTGCTCATTGCCTTTCTATGATACTAATTTAAGGGTTCTTTCAAACCCAAATTTAGCTCTCTGTGCCCACCTAGATTGCTATGAGAATTGAAATAATCCAAGCTATTTGCTTTGGAAAATATACTCCATTGTGAATGAAAGGCCTATGGCCAAGGTGTTTCCTTCTGGCACCAGAAAAAAGAAAAGACAGAACAGGGAAGGGGCAGGGGGAAGTCTGATAAAAATGGACTCTCTGTTCAGTTACCTACAGATTTTCCCACTGGGCTTTACTTTAGAAAGCTGTACAGGTTAATGCTATCCACAAGCCCTGGGCACTGGTGCCCCATGGCACAGCTGCCTGCAGGATGGCACATGGTACACTAATAGCACACTTATTATTAGATTTTCTGCATGGTTACATAAGCCTACAAAAGGGAAAAATGTAAATGATTCAAGAAGATATTCTTCATGCGGTTCTCATGAAATCTTTAATATCTTAAGACTTAGGAAGAGCTCTCCTGGCAAGATGAGATCAATTTTCACGCTTCATTAGGAAAAAAGCCCTTTCAGTAATGTTACAGAAATGGCTATAGGCAAAAGAGAAAAAAAAATACACTCTGGACTGAACAAAACCCCAAGGCACTTTGGACTAAATCCTTTCTTTGTACCCACAGCATATCTGAAAGGAGAAGCAATGCTCACTTGGGGTGTGTGGGGATTGTATTTTGACTAGTCTGTCTACCCACAGAATTTCATTTAATCTAGGTGGAGTTGTTATCAATCTCCTTAGTCTTTCACGAATTTGAATGGACTGTAGCTTAAACCAACAATCACCCCCAAGGCATTGCAATGATATGAAGGAAACAGCTGACATGGGGCCTGTGGAGGTGGGAAAATGGTGGATTGGAGAGAGGCCATATACACATTGAATTTCTGCAAAGGCAGAGGCACATTATGTCACCTTCCCGCTTTCCTTTTCATTTAAAATTTACAGGTTTTCAAGACAATTTCCCTTTATTTCAGGAGAACGGAGAATGCAAAATATCTTAAGCACACCATTTACATTATTTTTTTCTGACACTTGAATAGTTGACAAACTCTGAAATCACTTCTTTTCAACCTAATGTTGATACCAAATTCTACTTTGTGGACTCAAAAAAAAAAAGCAGTCTTCAGAATTGTTCAATTTAAAAGCCTTGTCATACTGTAGTTACATATGCTCAGGGAAGTTATTGTATGCAGAGAGCTGCAGACAGTCTTGAAAGGTGAGGAGTATACAAAAATATAACCTGCAGGAACCTAGCAATCTAGCTTCAAAATGGTTTCATTCATTCATTCATTCACATGAGCACTTCCATCAATTTACTTTCAGTATCCCTCATATACGGGATTAGTGCCCATCTATAAGGGACCCCAGAGAGCTACCTCGCTCCTTCCACCACGTGAGGACACACCAAGAAGCTGTCATCTATGAACCAAAAAAATCAGCCCTCACCAAATACTGAAGCTGCTAGCACCTTGATCTTGGACTTCCCATCCACCAGCACTGTGAGAAATACATTTCTGTTGTTTATAACTTTATGGTATTTTGCTATAGCAGCCCAAATGGACTAAGACACTGCCAAAAGCCAAAAATACATCCACCTCAAAGGAAGAAAAGTTTGAAACCATTCAGCTGGAGTGATTGTGGCACACTCTTATTCTCTGCCTTGGAGAATAAGTCAGCTGATATGAGCCTGCTTTTCTGTGTGAAGAATGTACAGAGTTTGAAAGGAACTTCCTTCCTCTTCCCTCTGTCCTTCCCATTGCTGCGCACCTTCATGGATCATACAGGTTCTATGAGGGTCTGGAGGGTCAGAGCTGAACAGGTTACAGCCCCTGTTCCCTAAGAGCCCATGGTCTCGTGGGGAGACAGACACCAAGAAACCAGCACAGCTCACTGGGATTAGTGCTCCAGTGGGGGTAGCTGAACCGTGCTCTAAGAGCAGAGAGGAACAAGACGATGTCTGTACTCCTGTGTGCACAGGAGCGGGTGGTGA